AAGTGGATCTTAACCTTTGATCAACAGAACCTACATAAAACTACATATACCGTATTTTCACGACCATAAGGCGCACCGTACTAAAAGGCGCAGTCTCAGTTATGTGTCCCATTTCTGTATTTAACACACACATAAGGCGCACCGGACTATAGGGCGCATTTTTTATATACAGGTACATGTCCTCTACTACCTTTAAATAGCTCTACTGCGTATTTTAAAAATACAGCGGGGGCAAAACTGAGTATGACTGTGCTTTATTCATGTATTTATTACAAATTAATCAAACCTGCGTGCTGGCCATGAGACAGACACATCGCAGAGCGCTGTGATTACTCCTAAATTAACTTAAAATCCTGAAACCTGCCGACGGAATATGTTCGCTTTATTGCCGGTATCCTGGTGCCTGCAGTTTAAATTATTTAGATGAAAAACACCTGCCAGCCGCCGGTGAGGCTGCTGTTGAAGGGATTTACTGTCGGTGTACCGCTGGTAAGTGGGGGTCTGAGCGCCTCCGACAGAAATAGATAATCTGGATGAACTGACTGCAATTAAGTTTTCAGGTGTATTTTCTCACTTAAAAACATATTAAAACTACTTTATTCCCACTGATCACAGCAAATATAGCTGCAAGATTTAGATTATTTAGATGAAAAACACCTGCCAGCTGCCGCGGTGAAGAGGAGGAGACCCGCCCAGAGGCTGCTGTTGAATTAAGTTTTCAGGTAGAAAAATAGAGCGGGAGCAAAACTGAGTGTGATTGTGCTTTATTCATGTATTTATTACAAAGTATTAATCAAACCCATCAAAGTCATCATCCTCTGTTTCTGAATTAAACAGCTGCGCTAAATCAGACATGCCAATTTCCCCTTCTTCGCTGTCAGTCACTTTCCGTGCAGCGCGGCTCCTCAGAAATAATGCAGGCTTTTGCGAAAGCTTGAACAATAGAGCCAGCAGACACGTTAGTCCAAGCATCTACAATCCATCCGCTAACGGTGGCGTAATCTGCCCGGCGCTGCCTTCCACTTATCGTGAAACTGTGGTCTCCGTCGGTCATCCACCGCTCCCACGCCGCTCACAGCCTTACTTTGAACGGCCGCTTTCACACCGATGTCGAGCGGTTGAAGTTCCTTTGTCAGACCCCCGGGATAACGGCGAGCACAGCGTTCATTTGATTCACCATGTTTTTCACATCGGCTTTGAGATGGGCACGCAGCGATGGTGATGCGTGGAAAAAAGCACCTGGTCTCCTCACATACACCTGCCTTTCATCCTCTCCCCAGCCCGTTTCATTTGCGTTAATATCATATGTCATCAGAGCGCTGTGTCTGTCTCGCTGTCAGCTCCCAGATCAGCTTCTCTGATTGGTTGATGCGGCGCGTCCAGCAGCAAAACTTCAATTTTTCCATCTCGAGCAGCAGCAGCGCGTTGGCGGCGCGCTCCCGACGCGCTGCACCTGCTGCTCAAAACGCGCTGCAGGACCTTTTGCTGCACCTATATGCGCGTCAACCATTGACTTTGCATGTAAACTCGCTGCTTCTGCTGCACCTGCTGGGTCCGGTTCACACCGATGTCGAGCGGTTGAACAGTGAGCACAGGGTTAATTTGTTTCCCCATGTTTTTCACATCAGCTGTGAGATGGGCACGCATGGAGTTACATATTAACAGCGATGGTGATGAGTGGAAAAAAACACCTGCACTGTTAAAAAAGTAAATGGCAATTGTTGTTCTAACACACAATTGTATTGTAATCCGACTCAGAAATATAAATTTGACATCTAACAAATAAATACACGTTTGCCCAACTCAAATTCTCAGAAGTTGGTTTAACAAGGAGTTTTAAATCGCCTATACAAGATTTTTTGAGTTCCCTCAACTGTAAACTCATGGGCATGCGCACTGCTTATGTTCATGGACACGCCCACTACGGTACGGGGTTTCCTATCCCTTTCTTCAAGTCCACAGCCTTTTTCCCTCGCATTTGAGAAGATTGGCGGACATTGTGATTTTATGCATCTGGAGAACCACGGAGGAACGACCCTGGGACCTACCAGTTTTCTGAATCTTTTCTTTTCCCGGTGAGTGCTGCAAAGTACAGACAGTTAGCGGTTAGCTCCGTGAGTTAGCATTCCCTTGTGGTGTATTGCCACCGAGTTGAAGCATGAGTTTGCCTGTTATTTTCATTGTACAAATGAAAAGAGACATTAAGTTGAGTGTAATAACTTATGAAATTTCTAAATTGTTTTATGTAGTGCAGTGTTGTTGCACTCAGGCACAGAATATTACAAGACTACATTATTTTACTTTCTTAATCCGATGTGGGTATTTACTGTTATTTACATTATTTGCATGTGGATTTTTTGCTTTCATGATTTTATTTGCTTTACAAGAAAAACAGTGACATTAACATTTTATATGTTAACCCTGTAATGCAGCAGTTAATTCGTAATGAGTTAGAAAAGTTACATTACACACTGAAATTTATCATACTTGGAGAGATATAAACTGTACAGTTAAGAACAAGAAGTGAATGGATTTAACTAAGCCCTGTTGTGCTATGCAGGCAGGGTTTTTTGGATACCCTGGATTCTGGATTCTCTCCTTAAATGGAGATGGCGAGCCAACCGTGCGAACATCTGGATTTGGACTGAAGAGAAGGATTTGGACTGAAGAGGACTTTCTTTTTTTGCATTCATCGTCCTGTCGGAGTGGTAGGACTAAAAAGAAAAACTCAGAGATAAAAAGGGAAAACCTTTTTCTTTTTCCGTTGGGAAACAAGACATTTTATTTCATTTTATTTTTTTTAAAGGATGCACCCAATTTAAAGAGACTACAATTGAAAAAAACAAACTGAAGGCCGTCCAAATTTGTAAAACTGTTATTTTTTCATATATGTTAATACACTTACTTCACAAAAAATTACCTGTGTGTTTTCCTCTTACTAAATCGGGGTCTTACTGTTTTTTCCCTCATCATCACTCCCTCTTACGACTCTAGAACATTCTGGTCCAGTGTCAGGTTACTTTGATCTGTGCAGTTAAGATTATGTTGTTGAACATGGTTTTATACTGTATCTATTGATGCAATGTTTGGCTTGAAGCAATAAAAATGTTGTATTAACATAATTTTTTGTGTGTTGAATGATTGGTAGTGAAGACGATTGGTAGGACTAAAAAAACTGAGTTGATAGAACTCAACTTGCAGATAACACTACAAAATCTGAGTTTGTAGAACTCAAAATCTATATGTCAAACTCATAAAACAAAGTTGATAGAACTCAGAACTTAAAGGTGAAATTCAAAAACCTAAGTTGGTAGAACTCAAAATTTCTATGTAACACTCCAAAAACCTAAGTTGGCAGAACTCAAAAATCTTTGTAAACTCAACCACAGTGAATTTAAGTAAGGAAAACTCAAAAAACCAAATGCATCACGTTGCCTAGAAAATTTAAGTTCTGTCAACCTCTATTTTTTTTTCAGTGTGGTCTCCTTACATTCAGCCACTCTTTCATCATCTCCTCAATGAGGTGGTCTCAAAAGTCGCAGTTACAACACACATAGGGCGCACCGCACCATAGGGCGCACCGCACATTTTGAGGGGAAAAAAAGACGTTTAAGTGCGCCTTATAGTCGTGAAAATACGGTACTAAGAAAACATTCCCTGAACATAGAATTGCTGAACCTTGAAAGGAAATGAAGGACAATAACTTAATGCCAGAGAGTGGAAGAGAAGCAGTCAGAGATACCTTCAGTTCAGAGGAGCTCAGGTTCAAAATGACACCACCTGAAATGTAAACCGACTCTCTTCCTGCGGTTGCCCATCTGTTAAACTATGGTTAATTTACTCCAAAGTACCAAAAGAAACGCGCTTGATGTCTGACAGAACTCGACCTTCTACATCTCAGCAGTTTGACATGGGGAAGGTTTACAATCTGATCTGATGCTGGATGTGATATAGTAAAAAAATACAAATATTTTTGGCATCTCGATCAAAATGAAATAACAGCTGGATTTTAAAGTTGAATGTAGGAATAGGAAATAAAAAGAGGATACATGTTGCATAAAATAGAAATGGAAGCAGGATCACAAAAACCACCAGAAGATGATTGGATGCTATTGACCAAAACATGTGGAAGGTAACCCTTTTTTAACATATATATATATATATATATATGTGTGTGACCCCCAAACTGGGAAAGTGGCTACAGCAGGTAAACCCGAGGACCCGAGCTGAAGGATGACACATACCACCCCACGAGGGGTGAGAAAATATATATTTTTTAAATATATATATATATATATTTTTTTTTTTTTTGTAGGGCTGCAACTAACGATTATTTTGCAAATCCATTAATCTTTCGATTATTTTTGAGAAATATATGAGGATGTAGAAAGATTGGTTGAATTCCATTAAGCCACTAAGAAAAGTCTTTGTCTGAAATGTGAATGCGAAACATTTGCCTAAATAGAGTTTTTTATACTTTAATTGTTGAAGTTCAGCTGCCTTTTTAATTTTACCTGATTTATATTGAAAGGTATTCTACTTTAAAGCATTCTTTTTGTAAAGGCGTTTGTGTGTCAAGCATATAATGGTTATTGTAAGCTCCAAAGAATGCACACATGGAAACTCTGGTCAAGCTTGCAATGTCAAAAATAAATAAATAAATAAATGAATAAGAAAAAGTTTTATGTAGTTGCGTAAGCTCTTGGATCACTGTGTGAGCGAGAAAGTGGAAGCAGGCATCCTTCTAGCAGCTTCCTATAGGGGGTGCCACATTAGATCATTTCCTCTCCCTATTTTCCTAACATCCTTCTTTGGAGCAAATACCTGCTAAATGTCCTCCGTTATATTCATAAATCTTATTTTCCATCAGGCTAGGATCAAGTCCAGGCTTCTAACGACTGTCTCAGCATACAGTCCCGCTCCACATTATTTGTGTGTTTAAGCAAAGAAGAGTAGATGAGGATCTTGAAAGGCTGAGTCACTAAAAACCTTGAACACACCTTGTACTAGCAGCCTGGTTGTGTGGACGGCCTCCCCCTGGAGGCTAAAGGCTCGGCATGTGTAGGGCCCTCGATCTTCCCGGGTGATGGATAGCACCGTCAAATTCCCATCAGACACCTAAATGTACACATAGCATAGATATGCACAATCAGATCTTTGCTATACAGATTCAAACACACAGACAGCATGCACAGTAGGGCTGAAACTATTAGTTAAAATTATTGAAATAATCAACTAATTCATTAATCGATAAATGGAGTATAGAGACTATAAAGTAAGTAAAATAAGTAGAAAAGTTTTAGTCACATCTGTTTTAATTTCGTAAAAATTCTTATTTAAAGACAATAAGTTATTTTAAATGATTCCTCAGGCCAGTGTTCAGCGCTTGACACTATCAATGCTAGGAGTGGGGCTCCCCTTTTGAAAATACTGACTATGTAAGTTGGGAGAAGACGCACCATCATTGATGAGGTCATGTGACCTGGAAGAATTGTATTGTCATGGAACCGAGGCTTTTGCTCTACTATTTTTCCACTTTCTGGGCAACTGATAATGGCTGAGGCAAGGAAAAACTTTGAACCTTCTGAGGAGGCTAAAAAGAGAAAATGTGACAGAGATCGAGGAAAAACAAGAGTTGATCTTGGAAAGGATCTTAGCAAAGAATGAAAGAAGTAGCCCGATGTAAAACCGATTCTCTTTTTTTAACTTTATACTTGGACTGGTAAGTTAACACTTTGCTCCTAGTATACAGTCATTAACAGCAGCAGCCATTCAAAATGACCCTTCCCAGTAGAATGCCAGCCGAGCGGCAGCCTGCTTCCCTGCAACTCCCAGCAAAATCCCCTCCACCTTCCAGTCAATAGCCTTCTCCTGGGCATGCATGTTTTTTTTCTCTGACTCCACCCTTTCACTGATTTACAGGGTCTGACCAGGAGATGACGCTTCTCTTTACAGGGTTCCTACAGCATAAGGCAAGTTACATACAAGACTTTTTAAGACTTTTTAATGCCACTTGAAATAAAAATTTAAGACCAAATTGACAAGAAACACAAGAAAAACCTGCTTGCGACAACTTAACCCAAAGGTTTATTTTAACATAAAGCACTGCACTAATGTTTCAGATTTTGAAAAGCTTCCCATACAGGAAGAAAGCTAAAAACACACAAATGACAGATATATTTTAACAATTATTGAACTGAATTCACAAACTTTGTTTTAGCAGGGAACAAAACAGATCAGTTTTAAAGCCCCAACATAACCAGTGCTAAGTCTTTTTAGCAGCTATTTTTCTTTGTATGGTTTTCTTAGTATGTTTGATTTGGTGATAAGTGGAGGCGTTGCAGAGACAAGGGTGGAACTAAACTGAGAAATACCGGCTGTTTCTCTGTAACTCCATTTTGACGCTTTGTGTTTCGTGCTTCGCATGCGACTCCACTGCCTTAATTCCCATCGTTCTGAGCTTGAATCGCTTCTTGCACTAAATCCACTGAGCCTCATGTATGTTCCCTGGTTTTAGCCATGGAGGAAACTCTTGGCTGGAGACAATTTTGGTTACATTTACACTTGATCATATTTTCCAGACAAAAAGTTCATGGAGCATCTCCCAAATGTCCTGGCCGCAACAACGCTTTTATCGGTTCCGCTATCGGGACAGAACCAATAATGGCGAGCCGTTATTTTTTTTTTTATAAAAAGAAAAAAAAATTGTCAATTTTAACGTTTTATTTAGATTACAAAAATAAATCGTAATAAAAAATAATCCTACTTATGATGTTTTAAAAATTAAGACCTACGAAAGACTGATTTAAGACATTTTAATACTATTAAGGCCTTAATTTTATTTTAACGAAATTCAATGCCTTTTAAGACTTTTTAAGGACCCGCGGGAACCCTGCTTTAGATCTTAATGTCCACAAATCATGACAGAAAGAATATTTTAGTACAAAGATTGATGTTTAAAAAGGAATTGTAGGGGAGCAGCCAAGAACCAGCCAAGGAAAGTGGGAAAGGTTTGAATGGCTACCACTGTATCTTTATTATTTTCGATGTTCAGTAGAAGCAAAATACGGGCAGTTACAGATCTAGCGCCCCTAGTTGCCAATAGTTACTCGGTGTGCCTTTAAGGTACCTTTGGCTATCAAATTATTATTTAATTAATAAAAAAATAATCAGCAGATTAATCAATTTGCAAAATAATCGATGGTTGCAGCCCTAATGAATACAAAAGTATAAAAACATTTTGGACCGAAAAGCTAAATGAACTTCCCCCACCATCAACACTGGAGGGGAAACATACAGTAGAGTAGATTTGGTTGATGGAAACAATTTTCAGTGAGAAATTTGTGAAGAGGCCTGTAGTCGACCAAACATCAGTCAGCGTCCGGGAATACGGGTGTTTCGGTTTGTCCTTTAAAGAGGAACTAGTCCTGATTGATTGATAAAACCTGACAGAAATAAAGCTCTACCTTGTACTTGGCACTGCTAATCAGGAGGCTGCCTTCTCGCAACCAGCTGATGGAGGGTTTAGGGTTGCCGAACGCCGTGCAGGTCAACGTGATGCTCCCCCCTTCCTTGGCCTCCACATACTGAGGTGGTGTGTCTTTGAATGTTGGGGGGGCTGGGGAAAGAAGGGAAAGTATGGATTGAAGTGGATAAAATAACATCTTCAGATTGCTTACAATTCATTTAACCAGGCAGAAGCCGGATGGATCCATCTGAAAAGGCTCCTATGGAAAGCGTTTGCAAAAGGGAGGGACATTCAGTACAATAGCTGTAGCAGCTGGGATCAGACGTCCACGGTTTCTTAGACTTAGACAAACTTTATTGTCATTTTGAACACACAGAGTATAAACAAAACAAAATTACATTTAGTGCAGCTCTCAAGACATTTCCATTTCTAAAGTGCAGCAGTGATGAAATGTAAACTTGGTGATCAAATGTTCTGTCCGACCCGGACTGACTGAGGTCTGTTGGCGAGGAAGTCTAGCAGCCAATAGCAGAGGGGTGTATTGAAGCCCAGCTGTTCCAGTTTGCCCATCAGATGTAGGGTTGGGAATTGAAAAGATTTTCACGATTCCGATTCCCTTTTCGATTCTATGAAACGATTCGATTCTTTATCGATTCTTTTTTCGATTCCAATTTGGGGAAAAAAGGAGAACAAACAGTTTGATTATCAGCATCAACTTTGTTTACTTAACTATTGCACAATCTTACAAAATCAACAAGATCAAGATGTCCACATGAAATGTGAAACTGGAGTAACATCTGTGTTTAAATGAAAAATGAATACAAGAACAAACTTAATAACCAACAATGTCTAATAACAAATGATGGGATAATAACCTATTTTAAATAACAAAAAATACTAATTATAAAACAGTAGTAGGGAAAATTAACAGTTATTTTGCAGAAAGATGAGCATATCTGCTTTTTCTGGAAGGATACAGGATCTTTCAGCGCTTATGGTGTCTCCAGCCGTGGAGAACACCCTCTCAGATGGGGTGGAGGAAGCTTGCACACAGAGGTAGTTTTCAGCCAGTCCAGATAGCAACGGCAGCGTATCTTGCTTGTTCCACCACCACAGTGTGGCGCTATCCCTGCAGGGGATGGAGGGCAAGCTTTTATAGAGCTGGATTTCCTGATCTACCCTCTGGGCTAAGGAAAGACGGGGCTTTGATTCACAAAGTGACCGCAGCTTGTTGTCTTCCTCCTCGAATAGTACTTCCAACTTGCGTAACTTGCGTAACTTATGTAACTTACGTAAAAAACGTGACGTAAGTCGTGCTCCCCAGAGCCGGCGCTCTAGGCTCTGGTGCTGCAGGAATCGAAAAAAGAATCGTTCAGCGAGCTGCCAAACGATGCCATGGAATCGGAAAATACGGAACCGGTTCTGAACAGGAACCGGTTTTCGATTCCCATCCCTAATCAGATGCTGTGGGATGATGGTGTTGAAAGCTGAACTGAAGTCCAGGAACAGCATCCGCACGTGGGTGTTCTTCTCCTCCAGGTGTGCCAAGTTCAGGTGGAGAGCAGCAGAGATGGCGTCCTCAGTGGAGCGGTTCCGTTGGTAGGCAAACCAGCGACGTTGGCGGCAGACTGGAGACGATGTGTTCTTTAACCAGCCTTTGGAAGCACATCATCATGTTTGGAGTCAGTGCGACAGGCCGCTAATCATTGAGTGAGGTGACCTGAGGCTTCTTTGGGACTGGAATAATGGAGGCAGACTTGAAGCATGCTGGCACTATGGATCGGTCCAGCAAGGTGTTAAAGATGTCTGTGAGGACACCAGCCAGCTGACCTGCACACTCCTTTCACAACCGGCCAGGGCCTTCCTTGGGTTGGCTCTCCTCAGAGTTTTCCTCACTTCAGCTACGTCCAGGTTTAGTGCCTCCTCCCCTCCTCCTCTGTGGAGGAGGCACATTTCTGGAGTGCTGTTTAGTGCCTCAAACCTTCCAAAGTGTTGGGATCTGGAGCTGTACCACCTTCCTCCAGCAGAGTGCGCCGTGGGTCCTCCAGAACTGGAACCTTCCAACACACCTGAGGCGCATCTCCTCATCAGAGACCTGCCTATATAACCTGCTTCCAGACCTTGCTTCGACGCCGCAGTGTTGACCTAGTTTGGTTAGCGACCTGAGCCTTGAATCTGAGAATCTTTGCTATCTCTTTGATGAGATCTGATTCTAATTCTCCCTTGTTTTTTGCCTCACGGGAAACCTGTCTCTACCTGAGGCTCTGGATGAGCTTAACCTGCCGTGATTGCCCTCGTGAGCCAAACCTGAAGATTCCTCTGTGGATTCCCCTGCTGCTCTTGGCTAAGAGCTGGAAACTCAGATTAAGGTCTGCCCTCAAAGTCAGAAGCAAGACGCTGAAGCAACTCTTGGACTCTGCTGAACTAACAGTCTCTGGACCCATCAGTACCTTCTCTCTCAAAGAGAAAACCGGACTTCTTCAAGGTACTCATCAGATTAATCAAAGACTCATAACTCATCAGTGCGTTTGCTAATCAAACTATCATCTCTGCAGACTCCAGTGAACCAGCCCCTGACCAGTTCCAGTACAAGTGCTTTAACCTTGTGTTCATTCGTTAATAAACTCTGTTAAACTTTTAACCAGCCTCTGTGGGTGTTCTGCATTTTGGGCTAGCTCTGATACCCATCATGACACAAAGAAGAAAGGAAGTCAGCTTTTGCTGCATCTATCGGGAAGAGGGTGTGTTGTAGGCTGTGATCACCCGTATGCTTGTTACCAGTGTTGTGCCTGAACGCGTCCATTGAACAAAAGTTCATGAACTCGTTCATATTTTGGGCGAACGTGAACTGAACGTTCTGTATTACTGCCTGATGAACGTTATTGTGAACTCGTTCATTCTGGTGTCTGTGAACGTCACACTCTCTCAGTTCAACTCTGTTCAATAAGTTGCCAAATTTCTATAGAGCCCTCCAGGCTAAATCACACCGTAAACAGGCCTTAATATGTAGCGGGGAAAAACACCCAATCTGGCAACACCAGCTACCAGTGTCGTAGCCTACAGCCGCGTGCGTCATCAAAACAAAATGCAGCATGGAGGCGACCGTGGAGGCGACAAAGCAGCAGTTTGATCACTTAAAAGAGGTTTATGACCAGGTGGTCGGTGAGGATGACGGCAACAATCTTACATTTCTCTGCAGACTTTGCCCGGCGGCTTTCAGTAAAAAAATCTGCACTTAAACCTGCCTGGTATAATTTTCTAATTAGGTTGGCATGCGCTGTTCTCAGTGCCTCTCTATCACCCGACTTTAAAGCTGAGTTCAGTGCTTTTAGCGATTTCCGAAGCTCCCATTCATCCAGGGTGGTTGGTTTGCCTGAATAATGATGTTTTTTTGATGCTGACGTCCTCGATGCATTTGTTGATGTGGGCTGACACAGTCATAGCATACTCATCTATATTTAATATTTTGTCATAGGGACAGTCTCCATTTTGGACCACCTGTCCCCGGAAATCGGGGACGTCTGGTCAAAATACTGTTGGTCTCCGTTTTCATGTAAGCAACCAATTCCGATTATCACCTAAAAACTGTTTGATCTTAGAAACAACACTTTCAAGGAACGCTATGGACAGAGGAAACATGCAAGAGGAGGAGAGTTTAGTGTCGGAGGTCGTGGATGAGTCTCCTCCATCATCCATTTTTTATTGGATGGAGGAAAGCGGGGACGAAGATGTTGTGGATGAGGACGCCAGGGCGGCAGAAGCTTGGTTTGGTGTAGAAGGCTTCCAGCCGTACATGTTTTTTTTTTTTTTTCTTTTATTTGAATAGGGACAATGCACATTAATGAACATCAGTATAAAAACAAATGTAAATATGCCGGATTATAGCTACAAAGCTAGTTTCCATCCGTAGTCCCTAGGCAGGCAAATACATAAGAAAGAACATAACATACAATACAAGCATCACAAGGAAATGTTAAGAGTTTAGTGGTTACATGACTGGTTTGTTTTCATCTGTAGTTTGAGTTGGGCTTTGAAGCTGATCAGTGTAGAGCTCTCCCGTATGTGTAGAGGAAGACTGTTCCAGATGTTAGTGGCTCTCACAGAGAGAGTGTTCTGACCAAAAGTTGTTCTTCTGTGAGGGACCTCACAGTCTCCTCTGGAGGAGGCCCTGGTTCTCAGGCCACTTCAAGTCTTGTGTTTGAACAGAGTAGACATAGGAGGTGGGGCTAGTCCATGTAGAGCTTTATAGATGAAGCATACATACTTAAAATTTATAAAATTTTCAAAATTTAAAAGATTGTACTTGTTTAAAATATTACATACATGGAAAGAATTAGGTTTTTGGTCAAACACTTTAAGAGATTTTTTGTACAGTGATTCAATTAATTTTAAATTGGTAACTGTGGTGAGAGACCAACTTGTGATGCAGTATTCAATGTGAGATAAAATCATTGAGTGGAGAACAATTCTAGCAGCACCAAGCGTTAAAAAAGACCTGATTTGTTTAAAATTTTTAAGGTTAAATTTGACAGTATTGGCAAGTTTTTTTATATGATTTTTAAAGGAAAAAGTGGAATCAAGTATCACGCCTAGGTACTTGAATTCTGTGACAAGTTGTAATTCTTCTCCTCTCAAGAATACTCCGGAGCTTTTTATTTCTTTTGATTGCTTTGAGAACATCAAACAGACCGTTTTTTTTTAAATTGAGAAGCAAACATTATTTTAAAAGCCAGTCATTTACTTGCTCCATGGCTGAGGTCAGAATAGAAGCTGCGTCTTTAACACTTTTTGCATGAGTATAAATTACAGCGTCATCTGCATACATTTGAAAATTCACACTATTACATGTTTTGGGAAGATCATTTATGTACAGGGAGAATAACAGGGGACCTAGTATTGATCCTTGCGGCACACCAACAGAGACATCCAAGACCGATGATTTTATACTGTCAATTTTTACACATTGTTTTCTTGATGTTTGAGCCCTTGCTTCGCAACGCTGCCAGTTCTGTTAGCTCTACGCCTGCTGAAGATACAGACGTCCATCCCTGTGAACACTGGGACGGAACTCAATGGGAAAGGAAAGGATTCTGATTTCTTATTTCAACCATTGCGTATATTAGCTCAATCAAGATGCTATGACCGAACAA